TGAATATCTTCTCCTGGAAGATTCCCACTCATACTTCAAGAAATGATTCAAGTGGCACCTCTTTAAAGTCACCTTTTCAACACCCAGAAATAGATCATAGCTCCTTGCTCTTTGTTCCCATGGCATTTCATTCATTATATTACAACAATTACTGCTAATTTGTAGTTAATTTCTTTAGACAGTTCTTTCAAGAGATTGGACTATTAAAATGTAAGAACTAGAAATTATTCATCTCTAGATCACTAACATTTATATGTAGACTACACTGTACAAATAGTTTTATTTATATCCTGTCTATATTAAAAATAATGACAGCTCCAACCAAGGGAGAAAATGTTCATGTGACACACAGGGCCAGTATGTCTTTTTCATCTGGCAAGTATCTGAGGCTAGTTTGTGTGTTAACTAATACTTCACTGTAACAATGTCAGAGGTAATTAACTTGTAACATGCTTAGGATCATGGGTTGAGAGTTCTGCTCTATGGTCAACTAACTTTGTTGCTATTAGCCCATGTTGAGACAATCAGCATGACAGGACCTGTGGCAAAACAACACTGTTTATTTCATGAAGAAATTCAACAAGGTAGAAAGAAAGAAAGGAGGTGGCACACTGCTAATTTCAACAATTTCGAGGCATAGGCAGGTGGATCTCTGTGAGTTTGCCCAACCTGCTCTTTCTATGTGTGTTTGTTTGTTTTTTGAGACAGGGCTTCTCTGTGTAGCCTTGGAGGTCTTGTAGACACCTCTAACTCAGAGATCTGCCTTGCTCTGCCTCTTGAGTGCTGGGATTAAGGGCATGTGCCACCACTGCTTGGCAAATCTTTTTCATGGGGATTTCTGGGGGACACTTAGGATCCAAAGTACCAAGGGCTGATCCTCAACAAAATATGGAAACAATTATGTGTGCAATTGACCAGTCCTGCAGTTCTACTGTGGGATAGAAAAAGGGTTAATCATATAGTGAGGTAAAGGGCGGTCGCCATAAGGTTTGTCCATGTGCTAACTGTCAAAAATTTGTGAGTATGTCTGTATTTGGAAAAAGAATATTTGAGGATACCATAGAGATGAGAAGCTTGCTGGGCTTGGTGGCATACTACTTTAATCTGAGCATTTGAGAGGCAGAGGGAGGCAAATCTCTGTGGGGTAGAGTCCAATTTGTCTACATACTGAGTTCAAGGACAGCCAGGGCTATATAATAGAAAGTCAAAAATAAAATTAAAAACTGAAGAGATCATCCTGCATTATCTGTAGGGTTCTCTGTCCTGGCCAGTTTTATGTCTACTTGACACAAGCTATCGTCATCTGAAAG